AATACCACTTTCGAAATCTGAAATTGTTGTAACTCCTGCTGTTGATTGAAGTTTTAAACGAAGCGGTACAACCAATGAAGCGGCAGTCCGCTGCTTGTAACAAAGAAAATGTGCTGCTGTTCATTCCTGGTTTAGGAGGTATAATATCCCTATTATCACATGTAATCACTGAAGCCTTCAGTTTTCTTTGTTGCAGTACAGTATCAGTTAATCACGAGGTCTTGCTTCTCATATTCGATATAGTCTTCTATATTCGGTCAAGTGAAATTTCCTAGAGCTTAGCTTATGGAAGCTTTAAGTCGTCGAAGAAGTACACTTCTAAAGTTTTATTACTTTTGGGTATCATCGCGCTTTACACAATGCTATACGGAATAAATTTTACGACTAAGACGACAGTCGACGGGTGGTACTTGCAATCGGGAGTGTCCATTAGAGATTGACAAGGTGTTTCTCCAAAAGAGGAGACGTCACAGTTATTAAGAATTGGTAACACATGCAATGACCTAACAGTGGGCTAAGGTACTCCAAAAATGTGAACTTCCGTTAGGGTACAACTGAAAAATTGTCCGACCATTGAGAAAAAACTTGGGTAATAGGTAATATAATATTTAATCGTTTAACTATGCTCTACTGTTGTAGCATAGATGGGATTACTCTTTAATCTACTATCACATGATGCTTCACCAACGTCATCTGACTCGTTGCATCACCGGGGCTTTAAATTCTCTTTGGATCGGTTGCGTAGAACAGTAACCTGGTTCCATCATTTTAATTCGTTCATTTTCATTTTTTTGCATTTCTTTCCCTTATTGTTCTTACATTTCTAAATACTTTTTGTTGCTTTTCATGAGAAGTCGTATTTTGCCAGAATTTTATGCTTCATTCATGTGTTCCTCTCACCTCGAAGTGCTTTCTTATTTTGCTTTTTTTCTTCCTGTGGTTCGAAACCCTGGACTAGTCTTCATTTCCTTGTACAAGTAGTGGTTGAATTGTGTATGTCTTCATGTGTTTAAATTGTTGAGCTTACACGTGGTTGATAACAAGGTTTATTCGGTTAACGTTTCGACGTCTTCGTTTTCTTCAGACCGCATGTATGTCTTTCTTCTTTTCGTAACAGTTTTTGGATGGTTAGGATATTTCTTTTAAGAATAAATCATTTGTATAATATTGTGCCGAGAATAATGCTCTCCTTAGTTTGTTAAACATTCGGATGTAGTGAATGACTGTACTGTTTCTCTTGCATCGTCTGACTCCAATGGAGAAATTTAGTCCAAGCTATTGTTCATACGTTACGCCGATAAAAATTCGTCTCACACTGTTTATCGATGGCTTTAGATGCTTTGCGACTTTTTTTTCGTAAGATACTGGCCAGATCACTGTCGCTGAAAGCTCAAGTACAGTTCGCCATCAAGGGTTTAGTGTATCCGTGGAGTTTGGCTTATACGCCATGCTTCATCGTCCTTCATGCCTTTTCATTGATTGTGATCGTCCTTCCAGATGTCTTCAAAGGATTACATATCTTCCAAACGAGTAGTTTGAACACTTGAAGGGAAACCTTGTTGAACAACAAATGTGTCTGTAAATCTCGTTCATGGTTCGCATTCTTGCTTCTTTCAGGGTACGCCTTCATGTGCAGTAAATGTGAGGTAAGTACATGTGTTTACGAATATTATTTCTATTTGTTTTATTTTAATGGATTTAAGATGTGTGGAGCCAGTTTCATGTCTATAACTGCCACGTGTTGATTTCCCGACTTAGATAGACGCAATTGGAGCATTAGGAGATATTTGCTCCTTTGATCGTGAATGGAGCATGCGAGACCACTTCGTTCTTCATTAACATCGTTTTGCGAGATTTAGTGAAAGACCGATCTTTCCAGAAGTGCTGAGAAACTCGGCAAGCATTCGTTACGCTTGGCTAATGTTCGGTGTTATAACGACGATTTCATCAGCAAAGTGAAGATGATATAATTGCCGACCATCGATTTTCACTCCGATATTATCCCATTCCAATATTTGCATGACGTTCTCAAGAGTGGCGGTGAATAATTTTTCCGAGATGGTATCGCCTTGTTTAACTCCGCTTTTGAAGTCGATGTTAATATCGTTATAGAATAGTAATGTTTGATTGTGAAATTTTTATATAGCTCACGAAGAAACTTTGTGTACTGAGTAGGGAAACTCTGGCTGTCTAAGGTTTTCATGACTGTTTCTATCTCAACTGGGTCAAAAGCTTTCCTTGAATCGATTAAACTGAGATAGAGCGGTCTGTTGGACTCTCGCGATACTACAATGAGCCCTGTTACCGTGTGAATGTGGTCCATCGTACTAAATCCTCTTCGAAACCCCGCTTGCTCACATGGCTGTCCTTCGTCCAGTGTTCTGCCAATCCTGTTTAGGATGACTCGAGTGAAAAATTTGTAGACGGCAGACAGCAAGCAAATTGGGCGATAGTTGCCGATATCGGGGAGGTTACCCTTCCTGGATTATAACATAGCCCTGCTAGTTTTCCATTAAATAGGATCCATTGTACTCTGACATGTGACACGTGAACAAACGAAAATGTATTATTTTTTTTTGAGCTCTACTTATTTGTCACTCAATAGTTAAATTTTAAGCGACTTAGAAGCGTATTTTTGATTAGTCTTCGTATTTTCTAACTAACTATCCTGTCATTGGCTTCCGTGATTTGAGGTTCTGAATTCATGCGATCAACACCAGTGATGCTTCCGGTTCCATGGGATTTGAGCAACAATTTCCCGTAGATTTTAAGTAACGCCTATAGCACTTGATAAAACAAGAGACCACATAACTATATAAACAAATCCAGGGGAAAATGACTGGCTAAGTTTTAGATTCAAGGAGAACGGAGCACCGTAATAGTAACGAAAGTGGTTGGAGTGTCTTGAAACAAAGGATAACCACTGAAATGCTTGTTTGCCAACGACATCCCTTTAGCACCTACATAATACAATACGCAACAAGCAATAATAAGTGAGCGATTGACGTAATGGGACGGCCCAACAGTCGCAGGTGCTGTCTCGACTCAGCCTATAGGCTGTCAAGTCTCTCATTCTTCCGGAGTCGAGACTTGGTTCTAAAGTCGTTTGAGACAAACTAACTCTCTGTAGTCCACACAGTAATGTCCCAGAATGCCTCCTTAGAGACTTTGTTGAAAATCGACTCGACCATCATTTAACGACATTCGCAACAAGAAAAAAAACTCAGGTAGCAGCCGAACCCCTACCCAAAAGAAAAAACCTTCAAAGATTTCCCTGGATTGTGGCTCCAAAGAAAAGGAATCGAATGCAATGAGTGCTAGAATCCGCAGAGTGTGATACATGTGATATCAGGTCATCAAATAAAAGAATAAAATAAGGAATAATATGTTAGCATTCACTTGTCGGATTCTAACTTCCTAAATATAAAAACTAGCCGAATTCAAAATTTTGCAAACCAAAAAACATCAGGAAAGGGTTTTCATACAACTGTTTTGGCGCTTGCCTTAAAAATCAGCATGAAACTATACAACAACTCAGCAACTATAGAAATTATTAGGGCACATAAGGCGTAACGTGTTTGCAAACCAACCATTCAGCCAAAGGAGAGATTACGAACGATTTATTATTATTGAAACTACCACCATCACCATAACCTGATGAATACGACTCGTCCTACCGTCTGTGGAAATAGTACAAGCTAGACATAAAAGGAAAAAAACAATGGTGGATAAAATATCTAAAGCGGATAAAACGTAAGTATACTCATCCAAGTACACTATGAACAAAGGCAATGGTAACTTTCAAAGATGGCAGCATCTACATTTATGTGTTGTGACCTTTCGTAGTGAAATAGTTGGTAGTCCTTCGGTTTCGGACTTCGAAGTGTTAGGTCTAAATCGCAGTGGTTAAAAAAGTGAGTTGTTAACATCACTGAGATCAAGTTCAAAAAGCTAAATTGTGCATAACAAAATCATGTTTCCCTTTCTTCCTGAGAAAAAAACGATTGTGTAATGAAGAAGAAACAACACAAATATTCGTTTTCTAATAATGAAGACCACATCCTATGTGCACAAAAAGCACTTAACGGACATGGAAAATGACATAAAAGAGTAAATAAACAAAGGACGGAGAGCAGCATAAACTTCGTACACTCGTAAGAATGATATCACCGTCCCAGCAACTACTGCACCACAACGCTAAGATGTAGGTAGATCCTGAACCACATCGAGAATTCCACACACCTATGGTGCCATGGGCACTTGTGGCGCAGTGATCGGAAGCGCCCTGCAACACACACGTGAAATCGGTCCACGCACTCATGGCTCACCAAGCCCTCCATCCCTCCGCGCTGGGCAAATTGGTACCAGACTTGTCTGGGAGGATGGCAGCACTGGCTGGATACATCGGTAGGTCACCGCGAGTCACTGTAAAGGTCAGATATACGCATTCAATCACCTCCAAACGATGCTTAATAAAGTCGAATGCATGGCGCATCCTTCAGGGATTGATCAACGCTGACAACTTTATCCTTTTATTATCGCCATGGTGTCCCCGAACAATGTAATCGGAAAAACCGTATTACGCCAAACTTTGCATTTCAGAGCCTCGACAAGTATCCCGTCCACGGAATACGGAAGATAGGGAAATACACATGGACTGGTAATGCGATGAGTAAAGTTGACAAAGTTGTACAGTAACAATGCTTCGTCTATATCGACCATTTCCAAAATGGGAAGACGTGCTAGATTTAATCTACCAGCTGTTTGACGGCAAAAACGAATTACAGACCTGGCAATGGAACATGGAGATTATCATGAATGACACAGACCAGCATCATGAACCAAGAAAGTCAGGGAACAGAACAACTGGGAAATGTGTTAGGACCCAAACGACTCATGAAGACGGGCTATCCAAATAATGAAGAAAAGAAATTCATAAGTAAAAGCACGAGTGACATGTAAAGATAATATCGCATAAAATTGGTAAACACCGATAATTTTCAGCGAATACTGTACAACACTGCGAACCTACGCATTATCGTCTTCATGTGGTCTCTCAGCCTTCGAGCAACGTACTCGAAAAGAAAATTGACGTTTGTTGAGTCAAGTGCAGAAGTTTCCACGAAGCATTCAAATCCATTCACGGCTGAAAACCCTCGTCCGACCCGCATTGGAACTTGGCGGTCACAGATTTTGTCCAGTTTATTGGCTGCAAGCACACTGACTATAAAGCTCATTGAAGCTGTGCATAAAGTAATGTTGGTAAGTTAAGCCATAAAATAACGCAAATATTGTGCTTACAACTGTTCAAACCGAAATTCATTTAACCTCAGTGGTAGTAATCCATACCTTCTTGGGTTGTTAAGCTAACACAAGGACGATAAAGATGTTCATTCGGTTAACGATTCGACGTCTTCGTCGTCATCAAAGCCGATGATCCGAGTCGATGGCTCACAGTTGTTCTTCCTCCCGATAAGTTGTCTTCGTTATCGCACCGCGAGCGACCTTCCTTGGACGAGCACCGCTCGAAATAGGCAAGCTTACCCGACAGCGCTCTTCTATACAGCATACAGGCTCTGATGAGGACGATAACATTGAAACGTTAGCCGAATAAATCTATTTATTAATCTCGTGCAACTTAACAATCCAAAAAGGTATTGATTATTACTACCGAGGTTAAATGATGGTCTGTTTGAAAATTATTGTTTTACTATCTTAACTCTTTTATTTACTGCCTTTTTCTTCTTAATGGCAGGGTATGTTGTGAAATATAACTCGTATGAAGTGCTGAGATATTTGCAAAACTCCGGACCACAGGTGTATGCAGTGGGGAACGAACACGCGCAGCTCCCCGGTAAGGACAGCAGCGCGTGTTCATTCCCCACTGCATACACCTGTGGTCCGGAGTTTTGCAAATATCTCAGCACTTCATACGAGTTATATTGTTTTACTTTTGGCTATGTGCTAGCTTACATAATACCGACTGCTGCAGGATGGATTATCTATTGAGAAACAAACTGTATTCAAAAGCTGGCGGGTGAGCTGCCTCAATTGAGCGGTGTTCGTCTGAAGAAGATCCGTCTTAGTGTGACGACGGCGCCACATGGAGAAGACGAACGACTGTGAACCATCGACTCGGATCATCGGCTCTGATGAAGATGAAGGCGTAGATATGTTGGCCGAATAAACCTATCTATCAACTTCGTGTTAGCTTAACAATCCAAGAAGGTATTCAAATGAAAATCCAAAAAAAGCGGTCACCTCAGACATGCGTAGACTTGAAGAGGAATTACATGGAAAAGTCAGAAAGAAAGTAATTCCTAGTAATAGTAAAGCCTACGGATATTCTGACAGCAAATATCCTTAACCTTACAAGGTGCTGACAGTAACACTTAAATTGGAGTGTAAATAGTTTCAAAAGCTTAGTTATAAATTTAAAGCCAAATTTAACCCTAAAACAGACTTAAATCGTAGAAAATAATAGCTCACCTACCAGTACTTTGAGAGACTCCTCATTACTCAAAGATTCTACGTCTGCTATCCATTCCGGAATACATTGAAATGAACGCGGACTAGTCAGATCGTAAACAAAGACGATGGCGTGTGCATTTCTATAGTAGCTTCGAGTGATAGATCGGAAACGTTCTTGACCCGCAGTATCCCATATATGTAACTAGAAACAAAAAGTTGATGGAATGCCATGAAATAAAAAAAACCTGAGAAAAAGCAAGAACAAGACGTATGACCTAATCCAACGGGACGGCAGGTGATAACTTCATCAGTCTCATCTATATGCACCTATTGAAATTGTTAGTCATGGGAATTTAAACATCCTGAATCTGCCATTCCTCAATGAAATTTGAATAGAGCTCCACAATATGACGTATCTCAGCGATACAATAATGACAACTACGACTGCTGATGATACCGATAGAGTAAAAACATGGGTAGGAGAAATACAAAGCAAATCGTAGGTTTGGATCCCACGAGAGGCTCGAATTTTGCTCATATCTCACCATCGTTGTGGTTGCGCTCCACATTATACACTGATAAAAAAATTGGACAATAGATGAGAAATGAAAACATTGTGACTTTCAAGAACAGCTCCAGCTTAACTGGGTTAAATGCCGATTTGTGCTTCCCAGACCATTCCTGTTGACGGATGATTGCTGATAACACCGATATGGTAAAAACTGGACGAGACAAAAGTAAAACGAGAGCCTCAGTTGGCGTGGTGGTTAGCATATGCACATTAGGTAAGACTAATCGAGGTCTCGAAGCTCACGTGAAGTTCCAAGTTTTGCTCATGTCTCGGCATGATTGTAGTTGTAAATCATATCATACTACCCCATTAAAAAAGAATAGGCAATAAATGAAAAGTTAAAATATTGAAAAACACTTTTTAATCGCACTACAATATAAAATTCTACTAAATACACCTATACCACTTGCAGTGCTAACAGCTGTGCCAGCTTCTCGAAAGGTACTGATAAGCTGATGATAATCAGAGTAAAGATTCAAAAAGCAAAGAAAGCGAGAAAAAGCGAAACCTCAAATATGGGGTGATCAAAATTTTATGCTGAACGACGCTTCGCCTTTTCATCCCTTTTGTTGGTCGAAACAGCAGCGTTGAGCAGAAGAAAATTCAGAGAAAGGAAGAATTTCAATGAAGCAGAATAAGTAGGCTTGTATCTTACTGGTAAAGACTTGTATAATATAATGGCTTCTATTTCAACTAATCACATTGATCAGTCGAGACATGCTTCTTTAAAGATACAAGGCTAAATTATTCTCAAGACCATACTCTTTGAAATAAACGCACATGATGCTATTTCGATGGCCGCATGAATGTAGAAACCCCAAAACCCAGAAAACTCTATTCGCTTCCGTTACGCACGAAGTCTTTAAAGTGGGCTGTGCTCTCTCGAAGGTACCACGCCACAACGTTAATATGACGCGTTTTCATCGTTTTGGGCAAGAAGTAAGCCATAAGTAGGGTCCTGACATGACATAAGTCTACTCTTGGAACTTAAACAGAAAAACGAACGTTCACTTTACATTGCAACTTGACAGGTAGGAACACCCCATAAGGTGGTAAAACCTTGATATGCCGCATTTTTATCGTTTTGCGCGAGAAACAAGCCATAAGTAGAGGTCTGACAAGGCACAAGTCTACTCTTAGGACTTTAATAGGAAGACGAACGTTCGCTTTACATTGCAGTTTGATACCTAGGAATATCCCCTAGACGATAGACCGAGCTGTATATGAGAGAAATATTATGGAGACACTGAAAAAACAAATGAGCTATGAAACTCAAAGATAGATAGATAGATTTCAAAGATATCGAACCTTGATAAGATCGTTATCCACTTTCAAAGTTTTAAGCCAAAAATCGACACCAATAGTTGCTTGCTGATCAATACTAAATATATTCTGTAAAACGCATAGAACCAATAAATGATTTCCGTTGACTTTATAGATTCCATGGGTTACCTGAGTGAATTTCTGTACTAAACTAGTTTTCCCAACCGTTGTATTGCCAACAAGCACTACTTTGAATACGTGATTGTAGTCTTCCATTTGGCTAAACATATTCGTATTATTGCCATTTTCAATTCACAACATCCATTGTGAAAATGAGACTAAACAGCTACGAAAATTCATGTTGCTGAATTAAATCTTAAAGAGATGTGCACAACAAAACTGACACAAAGGCAAAATTCGTTCGGTCACCGTCACAAAAGTCAAAAGACAAAACAAATAATATCACTTGATAAGAAGTAGAAGACGATTCGGTGACAAGAGTCCATACGAACAGATAGTGCTACGAAACCATACCCACGACCACACCTCAATGTTTTCTGGATGATCCATGTTGTAGGTTAAGTTGAAGAAATCACTCTAGTGAACACTCTGTCCTAAAAAAAAATACCACAAAAAACACATAACAAGCAAACTACAAGGCAAAAGTGCATGTGAACTGTAAAAAACCTGTCTATTTACTAACTGTCTGCTTTGAAGTGAAAAAGTGTTCTTCCCATGTGCACAGAGAAACTGTTATAAAAGTGTAGGTTCATCGAATAACGATAGCCAAGCTGGAAAAAGGGAAGCTCGCAGATTCTTGGCCTTTGCCTCTATTCAAATTTTGGTTGTTTGAAATGTTTGATATAAGCACGGTGAAGAGTTCTGTAAGAATAGCAATGGCACCAGAGCAAATCCCCATTTAAATATCTCCCCTTGAAACTATGAAAACAGAAAAGCGGGAGTTGCAGTATCCATCAAACACCATTAAGGATGTATGACTATCCAAATCAAACCTGGCGTTCGTTCTCTTCTCTCACAAAAACCAAGCAAGATGGTAACATAGGACCAAAAAAGTAGGTTAAGCCATTGAACGATTATGATGTGCTACCAGAACACTGCCATGCTTGAAAAACGGGAAAAGTCTCAGGAATACCACATAAGTAATCGTATAGAAATTCATAGAGCTCTACGAGGAGTCATAAAGGATAGAATGCGCAATCCACATTTTGACTATCATAAGAAGTCACAACGTAATTTTTTGTTTACTACCAATATAACCATAATAATGCTGAGATATTTAACGTTTTTGTTTTCTGCCTTCTATAATTTTCATGGCAGGTTACTAAGCGAAATACAACCACAACGTTGCTGAGATATTTGCAAAACTCTGGACCGCAGGTGTCTATGGTGGGGAACGAACGCGCTATTATCCTTTCCGGGGAGTAACGCGTTCACCACCACACCATGCGGGTCCTTTGTTTCGCACGTCTCTCAGCTATTTCTATCGATCTTTTTGCCACAGCAATCACCCGTCAGCGGGGTTGATCTGGGGAGCGCAAATCGGCATAGAACCCAGTTAAGCTATGGCTGCAGTTGAAATCACAATGTTTAACGTTTTTGTTTTCTGCCTTCTATAATTTTCATGGCAGGTTACTAAGCGAAATACAACCACAACGTTGCTGAGATATTTGCAAAACTCCGGACCGCTGGCGCTTGCAATGGAGACCGAACACCCTATTACCCTTTCCGGAGGTTATGGCGTTCACCACCACCACACCATGAGAGTTCTTTTTAGAAAAGGGCAATAGCATGTTCGATAATCACCACAAACACCAGCGGGCCAGAGTTTTGCAAACAGCAACATCATCGTTATCGTACGAAAGAAAACACAACATTGTAAGAAAGAAAACCATTCCAGCATACCTTCGGTGAGCAGCACATCTCACCTAATTTGGTACTGGAAGCCAGATGTTAGTTCTGAACTGATACCATGAATCACTGAAACATCCGAATATTAGACTTTGTTCGCGATTTAGCCTTTATTATTGATTAAAATAAAGTACCAATATCACGTCCAGTACCGATGGCAAAACCTTGCTAATGACATGAAGAACAGACATAAAGAGACCTTCATAGTTAAATCTCTTTATTTCAGAAAGCAAACATAATGGATGAGCTGTATTAATCTATAATACCACAATATAAAAGTAAAAATCTGAATAAAAATTGCAATCGAAATCAAAAGAAAAAACATCTGGAGAAAATGCTGTAACTTTTTCGTGTGAAATCACTTGTCTTTGAGGACGAAACTAACCAACACGAAATCATGGAATACCAATAAGTTTATCACAGGGAATACCGGTACAGGAGGATTACAATAAAATCGTAAGAAATTAAAATGCTCTCCATAACGAGAATATAAAAGAAAAAAAACTTTTGTAACTGTATGAGATTAAAAAAGGTCAAAGGAAACTTAAAAATGCATAAGACACTAAATGAGGGACAGCGGAAATCTCTTATTCTCACAGGAAAATCTTGTCATGTCCGCCCACAACAGGTACTGATAGTATGTTGAGCTCTCTCTACCAGATAGATGGGTCGTGTTCTCGTTGTACCATCGGACTTATAGTCATTGTACCTATAAAATATAAAACTCAACAAAAAGTAGACCAAAGAAAAAACGAGCTGGACATGTGGCGCACTTGTCCGTCAACTAAAACACTCTTACGCTCCAGCCTATCTTCCAGCAGAGAATATTTCGCCAACCGTTTCAGAAGGGCAGCTAGCGCAGTAATAGTTATGCCGACCATTACGAGCACATAGCTAGCTCAACCCAGCCACACGCCCATCAAGCCTCTAATCTATCCGAGATCGGAAAATTCGTACGACTTGTAACAGCAGTTCAGCTCCCGCGATCCAAGTGGAAATGCTCTATCTCGCCTATCCCAGGATTTCACGGAGAATGAAAAAACCAAAACAAAAGAAACTTCGAATAAATTCCTGGATGATGGAAACCAGGACGAGAATCGAATATAAAGAGTGCCGAGATCTGCACCGTACATGTTAAGATGGATAAATGTGTAAAATGAAAAAGAAATCTTTTTCAAAAGCTTAACAGTGACCGCCCTAACCAACAGCAGCTAAAGTAAGTGAGCCTGTTAACTTTACGTGAAGATTCCTCAGCTTATCCTGAATAGCAACAGCAAAAGAAAAGAAAAGATAAAAGACAAAAAAAAATAAAGGAAAGAACAGAAGGAATAAAAACAGCACGAATCAATACAAACTTTGTAAAATGACACACGTTTTCTTATTACACAACAGTGAAAATTCGACGCCACAAAGCCGGAGAATCGTATTCTTTTTCCTTTCCTACGTTGAAGGTTGTCCTTCAGACGGTAAAAGAATAGACAAAAATAGACCAAGTGAATTTCCTCCAGAAATGCAAGATGAACTCACTGAATACACCACTGATTTTTGTTACTGCTGGGCTTGAGTTAGGCACTTTCAAGGTTTAAACTTCGTCTTCAAATTTTAGAGACCCTAACTCTTACTTGGATATTTGGATATCCAATATTCACTTTGTTGTGCAGGTCCCAACATAATCTCCATTCTCCAGAGAATTTCTGATTTAGCCATAGTTGTTCCATGGAGTCTCAAGGTCAGCGTAACCGAAACCTTCATCAGGTCGTCACCACCCCAGGCATTCACCGTTCTTGTGGATCAGTAGATTGCCATCATGTGATTAGTTTGACACCATAATAGTGATGATTCCTGGTATTGGCATTGGTTTACTCTTACTTGGGGTTCCTGGGAAACGTCGGACTCCTCAAGCGAGGAGGCTCTGTTGGAACGATCAGCTCCCGATGTACATCGCAGACCTACACTTAGGAGTATCTTCGAGCCACGATACGGCGGCACACCGGTGTGAGGATATTCTAATTCTAAAGGCTTTAAAGGTAAAATATCACACCGATCCTTAGGTCAATGCAGTAAAGCCTCTTTTACATTTCAAAAACCGACTTTCCTTTAACCTCCACTTTTGCAATTTTGCTACGCTGCGTGCTAGCTGAAAACGATAGCGACTTCTTCAGGATGGATTGTCGGGAAAAACAAGTCCTTATCAGCGGATAATCACTATTACTAACATCCAGCATCCTGTATAAAACATCATAGCCGGGTGAGTATGCATTATTCAAGAGTTGTTCCACTGAGGAAGATCCGACTCGATACGACGACGAAGACACCACATTGAGAGTACGAAGGACTATGGACAACGACTCGAACCATCGGCTCTGAGGTAGATGAATATGTCAAAACCTTAGCTGAATACAGTTATTTATCAACCACGCGTTAACTTAGAATGAAAGAATATATGGCTCTTTCATATGTCTATAATAGTTCGAAATCAACAGTCAATACTGCAATCGAGAAATTATCATCAGTTTTCAAAAATTCAGCTTTGAACTGTCCGGAAAGTGTCGAATTAGCGCGCTTTTGCCTGCCAACATCACAGGGTTGCAGCTGTTGAATTTCTATGCAACGAAAAACACTTCTGCATTGGGCAAGAGGGTGATAAGGCATATCATATCATTAAAAACACCGCGAATCAGCTATGGTAAACAAAAATTCGCGCATTTGGAATAGAAAAACACAGCTGTATGGAAATAATAGGTACTTTTTCAAACTTTTATAATTCCTTTCTAAAAATGCCTTTAGGCGCTTCGTCCACCCCATCTCTGTCATTGTTTTTGTTTTTAAGGTGACCTGGGTGACCTGCGCATATTTAGCCCACCAAAGAAATAAAGACAGAAACCAATCAGAATGGAGCAAATGGTTCGAATGAGTTCAAATGCAGCTTTGCAGCTGCATAAATGCCTCAAAATGTCAACGTTATGAATACATTCGGTTAGCGAACGGTTAATGTACGGATGGTAGACTGCTGTTTTCAAAAGCTCCCAAATGGAGACGACAGCTTTGAAGGTGAAGCTCAATGAAGTGCCACCAGTATCAACGAAAACCATCAGCAAACGGTTAACATACGGATGGTAAACTGTTGGTTTCCAAAGTTCCGCAACAGAGACAACCAGCTTTGAAGACGAAGCCCAGTGATGTGCTACCACTATCGACGACAATCATTCGATGACGTCTAAGTGAGGTAGATTCACGCAGATGGATTGGATAGCACACAGAAGAACTACGGGTACGTAAAACGACAACCCCTGACTGCATTGAAAGAATTGAAAAATGGGAATTATTCGACAAATGGCTACCCCCTGATTTGAGTGAAAGCTATGAAGTTTGAGATGAAGTCTGTTTTTAAAATCTGCACGCTTCAATAGCGTTTATTTAATTGACGAATATAATAAATCAAATTTGGTCATGCCAGTAACATAGATTCTGATGGTTTTCGCTTCCTCAATAGCAAAATCAGCAAAGAATGTTTCTGAACACGATGTTAGATCAAAACAACAAGTTGATTCTCGCAAAATTCACTTAAAATAAGTGACAAACAACTTTCATTTAATCCTTCCAAGAAATCAAAAACCCCAACAAAGACGAACCACGAATTTAAAACCAAATTCAAGCCCTTCTGTATACATAAAGGTCGTAAAAATTTTGAATTAAGACTCTCGCATGAGTAGTGGAGTAGAAAGAAGCTAGAAAGCTGGACACAAAAAGCCAACCTTGCAAAACAGCTTAATAAATACCCTTCAAAACTATCTGTTCAACTATTTTCTTTCTATTCATGACAGTTTCGATTTAAATGAGTTTGGGCATTAACGAATAACAAAGTACAGCACTAAACAGCAACCAAGTGCGTTCAACCAAACAGAAGAGACATCCCCGATGGAGGATAACGCTCAAAGTTTATATGCGTTCTTTCGTTGATAAGCTTACACGATTTTGATAAACAATGTTTGTCTTCGGCTAACGTTCTGAAGTGTTCGTCTTCATCAGATAAAGGACCACCGACTCGAATCACCATCCGCTCTGATGAAGACGAAGACGTCGAAACGTTAGCGGAAAATAAACATAACTTATCAAAATCGTAGAAGTTTACCAAGAAAATAATACATATTGATTAATCATACCGACGCTAAACGAAACTCGGTTTCCAAATTTTATGTGAAGAACTCGTAGAACGAACCTCTACAGGAATATCACCCAAACAGAGAGAGAAAATTGTGTTCGTGGAAAATTCACTGCGAGGAAAAAATGAAGAACGTATTGGCAAGGTCAACGGATTTTAAACTCACGACGTAAAAAAACTTATTAAAAATATCTCCGGTAAGGTATAAGGAAAAAGGGATGAGTTGTGCTGAATAACCTATTCTAGACCAACCAAAAATGCTAAAAAGGTAGAAAAATATCAAAATAATAGACAGAATCTAACCTAAAGGAACCTCCGAACCTCTGATCCGTTGCCTTCATATCATTTGTTAACCTGCCAGCAACATGCTCGAAAAGGTTATCAACATTTGTTGCGTCTAAGGCCGAAGTTTCAAGGAAGTAATCAAATCCATTCACTTCCGAAAAATCCTGTCCAATTCGCCCTGGAACTTCGCGCTCCTCCTCTTTGTCTACTTTGTTACCTGAAAACAGAATTATACAAGAAGGTGGCTCAAAGCACATTTGTACATGACAAAGTCCACTTCTAAAAAGTAACATGGCAAATCGGAAAAGAAAAAGTCAAAGAGACACACCGACTAAGATCTTCAGCACTTTCCTATTCGCGTACGATTCTATTTCAGCCAGCCATTCAGGTAAACAGTCAAATGAAGGTTGACAGGCTACATCATATACTAAGACGATAGCATGAGCACTACGATAATAACTTTGCGTTATCGAACGGAAACGTTCCTGACCAGCAGTGTCCCATATTTGTAACTGAAAAGGGTCAGCAATGGATCAAGAAAATCGATAAAGTCATTGCCAGCAGTAAATCGGGACAAATCGAGTTGACTATATGAACGACGGGCAAAGGGAGAGGTTCAAGTGAAACCAAGCTGCATCAACCAAAAAAAGGCTTTGAATAACGATAATGGTTGGCATTGGGGTCGAACATCTATCCAAATTATGATAAAAGAAAACTGTTTCTATTGGCTTAACATACATTTATGTAAAGGGCCAAGCTTCAAATTTCCCTTGGACTTCGCTCTCTAATAGATGACTTTACTTAGTTACCTGGATAGGCCGCCTTCATTGATTGTGAGGGCCCCAACATAATTTCCGGCTTTTCGGAGTTTTGCTGGGTTAGCCATTGTGGTTCCCTGGAGTCCTGAGGTCAGCCTGGCCAAAGTTTGCTCCAATAGATAAATGGCTTCAGCATTACGAATTTATAATGATTGGACTTGAAGAGAAGACAACCCCATCCATGTTAGAAATGAACGCGTCTTATCAAAAAAAAAACGTTCCGGGAAAAAGCAATGGCACCGATTCAGCTGAACGTCTTCGTTTTCTTCGAGAAGATAGACATCATACCTTGATTTTATCATTATCCACCTTAACAGTCTTAATCATAAAATCGACTCCAATAGTGGCACTTTGACCGGGTGGAAAGATACCCTAAAACATGGGTGAATAAGGGAAAGTTCTGAAAAAAGAAGACAAAGAGTTACAAAGACGTACCTGGGTGAATTTTCGTACAAGGCAAGTCTTCCCAACACCTGCGTTACCAACAAGTACAACTTTGAACAGGTATTTGTAATCCTCCATCTGGTAGCGCTAGAAGACGACTTGAGTGCTATGCGTCAAGCAAACCACATTAAAGAGAACTGGAATCAATCAATGATAAGAAATATTCAACAATCTTCGATCAACTGATCAGTTTCGACGAGTTTTACGTCAACAAGAACTTAGAACACGCCTGCCTTCGATTGCCGACTCCGCTACGGCGACGGCCGGCATGAGTCTTCTGTGAGCACTATTTTAGTGAAACGATTTTAGCTTGTCATGAATCGGAAAGAGGTTTTGTTCACAGGGTGTGTCTAGTGATCAATACAGGAATAAAACCATAGAAAAGTAAGGGTTACCTATTTCTTCCAATGAGTTACCTAGAAGTAATACAATACAAGTCTACGTCTCACTATGGATTTCGTCAGAACACATTCCCTTGCGAGTCTGATCCAACGACCTGTGGGATGTTTACTATATTACCCCAAAGGAACCGTCTTTTAGAAACTTGTAAAACTGTACTTCGATAGGAATAGTTTATTCTGAACTGTATTCCGATAGGAAAAATCTTGATAGAAATCCAGCAATGGTCGAGATGAGTTCCCTTGAAATTAGGGTTGTTTAAGGTTCCCAAGGTTTAAAAGACAAAGATCAAGGATCTAAAATGAAACCATTACGCGACTATTGGATTATATATAGCCCTTATGTTAGTAAAACTGAATATTAAACGTAAAATTTGATGAATATGAAACATTTCAAGAGAGTTTGGAAGCCATTGGAAGTTAGGAATTTGTTTGAGTCCTTTGGGAATCATGAACTGGTCAATGTTCCGTATAGGAAGGGCTAGAAAGGGTGGAATCCATCGTCAATCAACAGTCTAGTCCGTACGGATCCAGCGGCCAGCTAATATTGCTGGAGAGCCGACCAATCGAATACAAACATTAATGGACTAAAGCTGAACAAAGAACACTATTTACTATCGGATGTTGTCCATTTTAGCGTTTCCATTCATCCTGAACGGTCAGAAGAATGCAAATCACTGACGGTGTGTTACTACGTATTTTCAAGTAAAACAGTAAGTGACCATCAGATAACCCATTCCGTAAAGCCGAGCCCAACTTATATTCATATTCGATTTATAATCAAGTCCAGTCGCCCACTCGTGAATGTATTTTTGTGCATAAAACACTTTAAAGCCCCCCGCCCCTCAATCCCTCACTGGTTGGGGCGCCTACAGGGCAGTAGGCCTGCACTGTATCACTCGCCAGTTCGCTCCTACGCCGCGGAATCACTGAGCTTTCGATCACTCTGGGCTCGGAAAATTAGTGCCAGACTTAACTGGAATGATAAGAACACTGACTTGATGCATCGGCAGGCTATCACAAGCCACCGTATAGTGGAGATATGCACCCAATCACCTCCAAAGATGCGAAGCGAGTATAATGCGTGTCGCATGCGTCAGAGAGTGATCAATGTCGATCGCTTTTTCCTTCATCGCTTCTATTCCTCTCTGGTTAACCGCCTCAATATGGCATGGGGCATTTATAACTACACATCTGCTAAGTACAGCGATGATTTCGTTCCCCTGCAAGTTCGCCTAAAGTGTGATGGAGTTCGACATGTCCATCCAGAAACCCATAACTAGACAAAGGATTAGTAAAGCGTTCAGCGTTGACCAATCGCTTCAGATGACGTCATGCTTTCGATACTTCATTCGTAGCATCATCGAAGTATTCGAGTGTATATCTGACCCACAGGGTGACTTCCGACGGCCGACCTATACGTCAAGTTAGCGTTCTTGTGCTTCCAAGCCAGTATGGTACCAGTGCCAACACCGGATGGATGGAGGGCACCGTTGCGCCAATGACAACGCTTGTGTTGCAGGGCACTTCTAACCATAGAGCCACACCCGCCTCAAAATTGGATATTTGCTATGAATCGTTGCACTGCACTGAAAGAATGGTATTGAGAGAGAGCACCTATAGGCGTATATACTATTCGAGTTGATATGGATATCATTCTATTCACCCTTACTTTTTCTATTAAGAATATGTTAGATTTGCTTCAAAGAACACTATGACATTCTTCGGCAAAAAGCACTACAGTATGCACCAAGGATTATTGATTTATTGATCAAAGCAGGACAAACTAGAAAGGTTTTCGCGAAAGTCTAACCAGTTCTTCAACCTTGAACTTGAACGTACATCGTGGGTAGTTGTACATTTTAACAACAGGAAAACAAAAGCACTAAAATGGGAAGGTGCAGCGAAATATGCGAAATCGTCTGTGGGCGAGCTTGTTTTTGGCGAACTGTCATGTGAGGCCACGTCATTTCCCTTTCTTCTCGTCACATTGGTGATTCTTTACTGTCCTGTTTGTAGGAAAAGTTGTAAAATTGTTGAAAATATCCCGAGATGAGCATGAAAAGGTCGGATGGTGAGAACCCTCGTACTCTGACCATGGACGAGTTGATACGGTATGGGTAGACTTGGCAAACGCAATAATGGTTTCAAACGAATGTTAGATTAGCACGTAATGGACCACTTGGACGTACAGCGTCCACCTTCACGTCTGTGGGTTACAAAACTCTCGTCACAATATCTATATTCATTCGATAATAGCTGAAATGATGAAAGTAGATCAATGTTTGAGGAGTTGGATGAGGATAGCAGTCCTCTACATTTAATGATTTACAAAAAACCTCTTGCCGAAAAAGTTCAGTAACCGGTCATTTAATTGACATCATGGCTATCGTATGGAATGGGTCAGCATAAAAAAATTCCGAAATATTTGCAGTATAAACTGCGAAACCGCTGCGAATGCAGACAGGAATGTATTTGTATCCTGGGTGCCGCGCTGCGATGTGCAGCGGGGAGATTCATCCCCCGCAGGGCCACCCAGGCTGAAAAGGAGTACGGCGTTTCCACTAGAAAGCCCAGCTGAGAGTAAACCAATACCAAGGGCGGCGACTGCCTGTGGTGGCAACGATCTAGGGCAGACTTTGGTTAGGATGACCTCGCGACTCCAGAAAACTATAATGAATAATCCAGCAAAACTCCGAAAAATCGAAATTATTTTGGCTTCCGCACAACCAGTGAAGGTGGGCCATCCAAGTATCCAAGTAGTATAAATAGCATTCATACCTATGGAACGATAGAACAAGGTCTTCTCCATTATTCTGCCATATTCAGAACTCTTCAAACCTCGTAGTTATCGAGAAGTTCAACCACAGCGATGCTGAGATATTTGCAAAAGTTTGACCCTAGGCCAGATCGAACCGCTGTTAACCTTTACGGGAGTTCACGTGTTACGCATAGTTTTTTATCGCTGTGTTCCGCATCACACCTTGCCGCGAAAAATAATACTATGCAGTAATTAAAGTTAACATTGCCATATTGAAAAATTATCGTTTATTGTCAAGAAGTCCGTAACGGCTAAAAACTAGGCATCGCCCATCACTCGTCAAACATACGATCGATCGATAAATATACTATCTATCTGTGAATATATCCACCACTTTTTTATCACCTTACTTTGGCAACGATACTGAATATCTTCTGATAGCTAACTTACCGAGGCCAGAAGGTGTTTCTGAGTGTTGAAATGCAATAAAATAAGTAATAGAATCTAGCTAATTCGATTTTTAGTAGACGTATTCGATCAAGCTTCTCAAGCAGTGTACCTTCCTGGAAAATGCTTGTGTACTAAGGGAACGGTTGTCGCATTTTGTGATGAGATCACCTTGAAGAAGCACTTTTCGAAGAAAATTCACAAATATGGCAGTCCGAATTGTGCAGTATGGGAGAATATAGCGATGGATCAGACGAATAAGTCAAGAAATCTTGAAACAAAGTTTACGGTTTCTTCTCGACGAACTACCAAATGAAACCTTAACTAGAACAACTGGTACAACAATGTGATCACTTTTATTTCATTTCCATTCTGTTTGTTTTTCTGGTATTCATCGTCCGCTAAGTTTTTCGAACATTTCGCGTATTGTTCCGGTTGCTGGTTGAGGATTTCGTCTTCTTCATGAAAGTCGTGGAATGCTGATAGAGTCGATCCTTCTTGTGATTTTGGGGATAGCCCGGCTAAGGCGTTTCCACGTGAAGTGGGTAAAAGCGTTGGGGAAGGAGTCGAACTAGTGCTTTTGCTTCCTGATCGACGACATCATTAATCACTGCGCTACCCACACCGTCATTACTTATGGCTTGTAGAAAGTCGGTCTTTTGAGTAAGAAAAGCCTTTGCACGTAAAAATACATGTGATTGGAAGTTCGCCACAAGTGGAAGTGTGCTTTTGAATTAAGTTGTATCTACAAGAAGAGTGAAGTAACCGCCACGTAAAATAAGGAAAGTATTAGAGTCACGAAATAGAAGGTTAAGCATAATGCATTCAACAGTTCATGATGGCAAGAACGGTATACTAAAGATTGCGAGGACACTTCTATCGAGAGGCAAGTGTGGCACAGTAGTCGGAGGCGCCCTGCAACACACTCGTGGAATCGATCCCAGCGCCCACGGCCCACCAAGCCTTCCATCCCTCCGCGTTCGGGAAAATTGGTGCCAGACTTGTCTGGGAGGATAGCAGCACTGGCTCGATACATCGGTTAGCCATGCCGAGTTATTGTAAAGGTCCGATATCCTTTCAATCACCTCCGAACATGTTTAGTGAAGTCGAATGCATGGTGCACCCCTAAGGGATTGATCAGTGCCGAGAGCTTTATTCTTTTATCCTTTGTACCAAAAATTGGAGATGACTACAATACATCCTGGTTTCATGTGGATATATCAGATTAAATTGATTGAGACCTGAAATTTATAAGAAGAATCGCTAAATGGTACGGTATTCCGAAATTAAGTCAGTACTAGAAAAGGAGCGTCCATGGAAACCAACAACAACAAAGCATCATCTAGTAGCAAACGGTACTACTACATCCAAGTCAAGTAGATGTTCTACTAGCGGGTGCAAGAGCGATTTCGAGATTACATTTTACTAGTTAGTGTAAAAAAGGTCAAAATCTCGCTGATGAAGCACAAAGGATAAAGCGTTTGGCGTTGATCGCTCACTGAGAGATGCAACATGCATTCCTCTCTATTCGCAGCATCATTAGAAATGATTGAATGCACATGTAGACTGTGCTACTCTCGGACAAGTCTTGCAGCAATTTGTAAAGCCTGAAGGTGTGGGAAGATTTGTAAAGCCGACGTGCATATTGCGAGAACACCTGTATCGACTGTCCCAGTCGCGCCGTTATTTTAGTACTAGCATACCAGAAAACTGAAAAAAGGTGTTCTGTGGGAAATCTTGGCGTATTGATTGCTTAGGGGTAGAGTATGAGTAGAGCGGTGACTAGAAATGTCCTGCAATGCGTACGTGATCCTTGGTTCGATGCTGCCCGAGGTTCACCAAGCCTTCCATTGCTACGGAGTTAGCAGATTGGTATAGTGCTTGTCTGAAGGATCGCTGCAGGACCCATGTAAATTAGTAGTTTATCCGAACACCTGTCTTTTTTTGTTAGTTGTAATGTGTGGTGGAAGAAGTTCCTTTCGGGCAACTATAGGTACACCACTTTTTGTTTAGTAACTGGTTGATACTAGAGATATAGAAGCAATGTGTGGAAACAATGCGTATGGTTGGAAATGCTTCGAGGTGTTTCAGAATATTGAGTTGAATGGTTCAAACATATGCCATTTCACAAAGCATCAAATAGAATTACTAGGCGAGAAAGAGATAGGAGGTTATGATATTGCACTGAATGTCAGATTTAATGTGGTAAGTGGGACTGATGGCATAGGCCAGTAGTGAGCAGCACCAGAACGCTCGTCGACATACTGGTTCGAGTCACGCCTCCTCCGCAACCAAGCCCATATTTCCGGTTTGATAAACTGAAAGCAAATTTCTCCATGAATGAGAGAATAACGTCAACTCGTCCTTTGGCGGCCGGCCATATTGATCAACGCCGTCGATTTCATTTTCCATGAATGACAACTGATGCCGAGACATGAAATCCCACTGGAAGCCCGTCATACGTTCGACGTCACTACAACGATCGCCGAAAGAGCTCCGGTAGGGCAATGCAGCTTCATGGATCGTTGCGGCTCGACTACTACGTCGTCTTTATCTGTCGTTAGTTTGGCAATCGTCTGTCGTTCATGAAAATGACCGACTTCGCATGCATGACTAATGGCCTAGGAATTTCTTATAATAGACACTATCAGCTACAAGAATGGACAATAAGTACACTGTGAAACGTTGGCGAACACGTTAGAATTGCACTTTACAGTTGACTTACTCTTGCCACGACAGAATATGAGATCATCTTCTTCTGCTCATTGTCTTTTCTCCTCATGAGCAAGGCCAATTTATCGACGTAAAAATGCTGCCCGTTGTCAAATATATTAGAAGGTGGCATTCTTCGTTATTCCTGAAGAACATTAAAAATGTCAAGCTGTTTATGATTGTTACACAGTATGAGAGGTGTCGAATTTTCCTTGTATCTTGTCCTACTTAACTGGATGGACTGGATTTGTCTTATTATCGAACGATTGCTTCTCTCTGGTTTAACGATCCTCTTTGTCTCTCAGCTAGTTCTTTTCTTTTCTACGATGGTTGTTATAGAATGGTCGTCAATCTATCCATTATTACATTACTATTTATTTCATCGACATGGTTCTTTCTATACGACATCGTTGGGAAGCCGATAGTTGGAAAAGGAGTCATCTATCACTGCGAATGATTTGTATATTGAAACATGAAAAATAAGAAGGAGTCGGTGAAATGATGTCGCCGTGAAGAACTTTATTTGAGAGACGACCTATGAGGATATTTAGAGGAGCTGCGTCTGTGTTTCTTGAAGACTCCGATGAGATGCTTTTATCGGACTCTATCCTAACTTTTACGTTATACCTGGGTTCCGCTTCAGCGAACAGCTTACGAAGGACACAAAAAGGCTTCGTAGAAGTTTATGAAAATCGCAGTTGCGTCGATGTTGCAGAAAAAGGGTTATGTAAGATGGACCATTGGTTAGGTCTCACGCAGCAGTTACTGATGTACCATCTCGCGTAATGGAAACGAATAAACAAATGTCTGTTAGGCGAGGAGAATGATTGATGACGAATGGTTGCACGTTAAAGTCAATGCTACAGGCGTTCTGTGCCAGATTTTTTCTTCACAGAACGAATAAGTGGTTCATTATTCATTTGTCGAAGGTACTTATCACTCTCTTCTCACTTCTTCTTGCTGGCGAATTCGACAAAAGTTGGGAAATCTGAACCTATAGAAATACTTCTTACACCTTCATACATCTATCGCCATTCTACAAAATTTCATACTTCATAAATCACGCCTTACCAGGTGCGCTGCCAAATTTAATTTCGTTGGACGGTTGCATTGGACCACCACGATGGGCACTGAAAAATTCTCCTGAAGAAAGTTTTTTTCTATACATCATTAATTTTAAAGAATAGTTCTTGACGAGCCATGTCTGACGCAACATCACTCTTCGGCAAGCTACTAATTCTTTTTATAATTTGCTTTTTGCATTGATTGAATTCAACTGGTACAAAAAATGGACTTTACGCGACAAAATAAAAAAGGATTGCGCATTGAGATCAGTGCATAGGGTCATATATGTGTTAAAACCCTAAAATCTAAAACTTTAGAGACTCTCCTATTGTATTGAATTGAAGAAACTTATTTAAACCCTATTGAATAAACTTAAAAGTGAAATTGAACGTTCTTAGACCAGTTCAACGCTGCTAGAATACTTTATTCTTCTGAGATACTGAGGTAGTTGGCTCAAAGCATTCTCATCACTTTGCTAACTGTTACGGGCATATTTGAAATTTCGCGACTTGTGAGGTTTTTCTGAAGTTTTCCCACTAGTCGTTTAACAAGAACTCTAACACCACCCAGTGGTGTCTTCCTCTCTCTCCCTCCCTCTCTTTCTCTCTACCTTGCCTCTCCCCTCCTTCTTTGTCCTCTCTCTCCCTCTGTCTTTCTCTAAAAGAAAAAGTAAAAGGCATATTTGTTCTTCTGTCGAAGATTTGTGTGCATACGTCAGTTTCAGTGAATGTACAACTTTCACTTGGGCAAATACGACGATTAAAAGAGCACTTAGAGATAACTGCACGTCGATTAAGGAGACTGGTAGACGAGAACAAGAAGAATGCAGACAGGCTTTGTCAAATGCGTAGAAGGTGATAAGCATATCGATTTAGATAGTTTCTTGAAATGGTAATGACAATTCACATCAACTCAGAGCAGCTACTCTTGATTCTGATCTGAAAAGACGTATGGCTATTGAGAAATGCGGTCATCCAGATGTAGATGGGGTAGTTTTACGTGAACTCGAGAAACCATTGGTAAGTATTTCGGTGCCGTATCCATTCATGAATAGGGTTATCGCCATCACACAGTAAAGAACCTAACTAGAAATCCATATGTACAAGTCGATATGCATCTTTTGCGTGGAAGCCTCATTAACGTTAGGTAAAATGCCGCCAGTGCCTGTCAGTACTCAGGAAAATTATTGTATTGGAATTGTACATCACTAATGTTATATAAATTGAATGTTATAGGATTATGAAGTTGAAACGGCTGAGGAATTTCAAAGGAAAATGGCTCATGTTAGACATCTAATGGCCGAACTTCTTCTAAGAACAATCCTCAATGAATGGGCTGCACAACAGGTCTTCTAATGAATTTGTTATGACAGGAATGATCACTTGACTATTTGATTATTTAAATATGTAATTACGTAATGGGCGCATGTGGCGCAGTGGTCGGAGGCTCCCGATACACTGGGATTTATTCTTGCGCTCCTGGCCCACCAAGCCCTTCATCTCTCCAAACCGTTTAATTATCATTAAACAATGCAATCATAGGAGTGTGTGTGGCGCAGTGGCTGGAGGCGCCCTGCAATACACATTGGATCGATTCCCACGCCCCAGGCAAACCAAATCTTCCATCCCTCCGGGGTCGGCAAATTGGTACCAGATTTGTCTGGGAGGATAGCAGCACTGGCTGGATACATCGGTAGGCCACCGCGAATCATTGTAAAGGCCAGATATGCATTTGGTCACCTCCAAACGATGCTTAGTGAAGTCGAATGCGTTTCGCATTCCTCAGGGATTGATCAACGCCGACAGCTTTGTTATTACTATTATTATTATTATTATTATTACTATTGTTATTATTATCATTACGTAGTTCGCAGATTCAGATTGATGGAAAAGAATGATTGCTTTGAGTACCCGCTACAAATGTTAAAAATCCCCAAGTATAGAAAAACGTGTAGTTGAACAACTGTCGTGATTGACGATTGCAATAAAAAATCAACTAGTAATCGAATTCTTTAACTCGAAGAGAAATTTCTGGTTACAAATACGAATATCTATCGATTTTTCAAAGCTCTTTACATGACATCGTACATTTTCGTTTTGCTTCTCGTCTCATTTGAGCTTATACATTATCATAATTCTCAAAGTATGTGAAAACCATCCAGTGAAAAAGTTAAACCGATACAGTGTCTTCATGGATACTCTTAGCCGAGGCCAGTTAAATGAGTGAGAATTCCTCAAGCATCGCGTGGGCGCGTTCCTAGTGGTGGTTTGGTTTCGAGTATCCAGAGTTCTTGTACAGTTTTGCCGAGAAAGTTCCCTCTTCTTCGGGTGAAACTACCTTCGCCATGAAGCGCTTTTCGTTATGGGTTTCATTTCACTTCCACGCATTGGTTTTTACGGGTTAATAGGATAGGATTATACATCTGCCCTACCTCAGTTGTCGTGTAACTCAAAAACTTAGCGCTCCATGCTTAAACTACTTGACATAAGTGCTATTCAATAAACGTTGTCGATCTAATAGATTTCATCCGGCTTTGCGCCTGTCGCGATGCCCGTTACATAGTAGCCACCATCGTGTACCCGTCACTAGATTGGAGACATGTTCAGCTGCTATGTGGTTAAGCTATTCATGCGGATTTCATTACTTCCAGCTATTTTTGTTATTTTTACTTTGTTTTATATCATCCGTCTTCGCGTCTACTGTGCGAATCCCAGCACTTCTCACATTCGATTCGCTTCCTTGCATCTCCTGTCCACGAAGATCTTCTAACTTCTACGTGTGGCTTCGGTTGCTGCTCAAGCAGGATTTTCATTTCGTCTTGAATGTCGTAGAATGCTGGTCGAGCAATTCTGCCTGGAGTCCTGAGATAGCCGGGATTCCCAATAGGGTTGCATAGGGCAAATTTTTCCCCAGGCAAGTCCGGTACCAATTTCTCAACACCGAAGGGACAACAGACTTGGGGCCCGGAGCGAAATCGAACTATACCAAGCTCGTGATAACGGACAGACTGCCACAGTGCTATCCTCCTATTTTATTTCCAGCCAACATTTTGCAATTTGACTACTAATTTTAGCCGTTCTAGATACAGATAATTTTCAGTTATAAAAAATTATCGAGTTATCCTTATCAGAGCAGTGAACGTGGACAGTAGAAATAGAACTCGTATGAAATGCTGAGATATTTGCAAAACTCCGAACCACAGGTGTATGCAGTGGGGAACGAACACGCGCTGTTGTCCTTACCGGGGAGCATCCGGGACCCGGATGGTGTAGTGGTGAAGTGCGCTGCTCCCCGGTAAGGACAACAGCGCGTGTTCGTTCCCCACTGCATACACCTGTGGTTCGGAGTTTTGCAAATATCTCAGCATTTCATACGAGTTATATTTCACAACATACCCTGCCATTAAGAAGAAAAAGGCAGTAAATAAAAAGAGTTAAGTAGAAATAGAGTTACTCAACGAGTCGTTCAATCAGACCAGTAGGATTCTCATGATCGACTTTCTATTAATCTCGGCATTGATGGAATAGTTCTCGATATTCTTGTTGGGCCAACACGAGGTCCTATTTTATTCTTTATTCCATTAAAACTGACGGTTCGGCGTTATCGGCTCTTTCAGGAGCCTGGAAGGGTATATTGATAGGCAATTTACTAAATATTCTTGTTGAGCAGTTTACTAAATTGCCTATCAATATACTCTTCCAGGCTCTGAAAAAAGGCGAAATCCACCGAAACGTCAGCTTTAATGTAATAAAGAATAAAGTAAGACCTCATGTTTGCTCAACAAGAATATCGAGAATCAGTAAGATTTCCTATAACTCTGACAAAGGAGTGGGTGAAGCACGCAAATAGCTTATCAATTCCTCAGGCGCAGATGTGAAACTTATTTCATTAAGCCAGCATGAACCATTCCCATACACTTTCCAGAGATTTGATGATAGATTTTGCCCGAATCTGGGTATAAAATTTTTTGCAACAAGGAAAAGAAATCCGTCCCTGAACCGCCTTACTTACCATTTGAGTCTATTGTTGCCTTTGTTTGGGCTTTAATCTCCCACTAACTATTATCGGGGAAGCGCTACTTAGCCCAGTGATAGATCTGCTTGAATTCTTCACATGAGGAATGCCAATGAGTTAACATTGAAAATGTGCATAGAGCTCAATCGTAAAAAGAATTTGGATTTTTCTAATTCTGTTTCGTCTTTAAATACTTTGAGGTTATCCTTCAAAAGAACAAGTTATAGAAATTTAAAAAAGATAAAGCTGAATGTTTAGTGGGTGGAGTGAAATCTTCATAGAGATCCTATTTAGGAGATGGCAGAGCAAGAAAAAGAGGTTGTGGCGAGGATACGTGACGCTTCTAACGCTCGAAAAATGCTCCGTGATGTGCTTATCGAGAGTAAGAAGAAAGCCGAGGATGCGATGCTCGATAGAAAGAACCGCTATGAGGTTGGCGAGAGCTCATCTGAACACTTCGCTGAGCTTGTTGCCTTGGTGGTTGAGCGCTACAACTCGATGAAGTCATATTAGAAGCGAAACAAGAAACTTTCGAAGAGGCTTTCTTCATGATTCCACTAATTGGGTACGATGTGGCCATTGAACGTTTCTGGACACATTTCTGGAGACTACACCTAATCTCGCGGCCAGTCTTTTTAGCCGAACGGTACCATCAGTAATCACTCACCAATGGAAATTATCTCGGGAGCACAAAACGGCGTTAAACCCATTTAAGCTGAGGCTGTAGTCGAAATCACAATGTATAACTTTTATTTACTGTCGATTATTTTTTCACGGCAAGGCATTATGTGAAATACAATCACAAGGATACTGAGATCTTTGTAAAACTTGATTGCTGATACCACGGTTAGTGTAAAAATACTGACTGAGGGAAAGACGAATCAATGGCCTCAGTGGTGCCATGCGGAGCACTTGAGCCTTCGAAAAGAATAATCGCGATTCGATCTAGCTTGGGATTCAACTTTTGCAAACATCTCGGCATCGTTGTGGTTGCATTTCACATAACACACTGCCATGGAAACTAAATGGGCAATAGATGAAAATTATCCACTGCATCTAATGTTATGCGGTGGCCTCTTGGGACCCCGCACAATTTTTCGCTGCGCTTTGTCTCGTCCTAGAAACGTCTTGTGTAAATTATTGGATGAGGACAGTTGTTTTTTCGATGACCGAATCTGAAACATCATCTGTGTTGGATAGCCCATCGATTCAATACAAAAAACATGACAAGTGAGCTCTGTCGTGTAATAAATTGTCGGAAAGCATACGCGTTGAAATTGATGCATTTGGTCCAGTCTCTCCATCCACGCATGCACTGATATCAATTTGCATAGACATTTACGCATTAGAAGTTCGTCCAATAAGGCTCATGTGGAAATCCTTGCTGGCGCACCTTGCGTCGTTCATGAATGGAACCTCAAACGGCTATAATGGGCCATCAGTTAGGGATTGAACATATGAAAAGGGCGGACTATGATATCAGAAACTACTAAAGGATAAAAATAAGAGTGAGGAACGATAAATGTGAAGAAATAGGGGTAATTTTTTGAGGAACTTCAACGACTTGAATGTCAGCATGAAATTTGTTCAGCAGGAGCATGGTTAGCTATCACAGAACGAAACAGGTTATGAAGAGCTTTACATCTTTTGCATCAACTTTGTTCCGCTTGAGATCCTTTTAGACACTCGTGAGCAAAATAACTTAAGTATTCCAATAGGAAGCAGAAACAAAAAATTATGCATGTTGATGTATATGGAACCTTTTGATATCTTACCATAATTTTTTGTTCATTTTCCTAGTTTATTGTTCATTTTGTCTTCTATTACTGAGCGTGTAGTGAAATTACTGATACTATGAAGTAAAATTTTTGATAAGAATGCTATTTCAAAGAGGGAAATACGGAATTCCGATAAAATTCGGACAATCCGCTTGGCCCAACTGCTAATGAATTTGGAATGCCCTGATTCAGGCAAAGATATAACTGACGCGACTGATGTACAAAAACAGTTGTGCTTACGATTTTACAATATTGATAGAAGTCATTGAAATCTAGTTTGTTACTGGAAAAGCTTATATTATATAAACATACCAGCAAAAAAACTATACATATGTGAATGATCTGTGGTTTTAGGGAGATCCGTTCCTTTCGAAGAGAGTTCAAAACTGAGTAGTGGGTTACAAATGCACCGAAAACTGCTACAGTCCATACTATATTACACGAATACTGATATAATGAGAAAAATACAAGATGATTAATTAGGCTCCAATGACTGAAAACGACCACTATAGATATTGGGACACGTGTATCACAATATTTGGAGGCGCCCCAAAACATGGATCTGGTCCTTGGTTCTATACTAATCCCTCAACTACCGAACCCTTCATACTTCCGGTGTTGACCCGTTGGCCCTTTCTAGTCAACGTATTGATCAAACATACATTCAACCATCTATACGATCCCACGAATGGATTTCAATGCGTGGTGCATCCACTGAAGATTTGACCGACGCCGAAAGCTTTGTCATTTTCATTTAGATAATAATGAAGCATTCTTGGTTTTTTTGGATGTAACTTGCTTTTAGGCTTAGAGATCGTTTAGCGATTCTCACTGAACAACCTCAAATCGCAGCATGTGAAGGAATGTATAGTAGTGATGGTCAGAAACTGATGCAAGAAACCGAACGATCTACTCCAAAAGCATCTCCTTCATCGGTAAAAACGTTCTATTCAATCCAAGAGTCAAGACTCTTCTTAAAAAATGGTTTGAATAGAGGTTCTAGCTATGGTATATTGATGTACAAATAACAAGCCACAGAGAGCACTTCGTCGCAACGTTCTATTGGAGATTTGTTAGAGGAAAAGCAAATAGAAATCCAACCACTATGAAGTTTTGCTACTTGTTTTCCACAATTCTTTTTGTAATCTATCGTGTATTGTACTATATTAGCTATGTAGAATCATTTTTTCCCTACAGAGTCATCGCTTCTCCGGTGTTTCGACAGTTTCCGAAGTCAGTGAGAAGCAGTCGATAGGAAACGAGCCAAAGGAATCAGAAAATCAGAAACGAACTAAGGCAGATTTTACGGTAAGTTAGAGGCGTAATCGAAAAGCGAGAGAAACCTGGTTATTCAAAATGGAGTTTGGTTTCAGAGGAAAAAGAAACTCAGCTTATCTGCTCGTTTTTTCTCTTGTTTTATTTAAACGAAGTTGGTTTACCAAATTTACCTGGCGATTTCCAGAATGAAGAACGTGTTCTGCCATTCAATATTATGACAACGATACAGAAGGCACTTCATGATTCTCTTGGCTTGGATGTAGAATTCGATTAGAGGTACAACGGAAATCGTCGTTCTACTACAAATTCGACTATTTATTTGCACTCAAAGTCTGACATAAGCGGATCCTAATTCATGCATAGATGAGGTGGGGGAATTGGACGGGTGTGCATCGGTACCAATTCATTTCCTTTGATTTCTATTTATCTCAGCTGTCCAGTTACATGATTGAGTGATATGGCTTCATCGATTCCGTTTTGGATTTCCCCGCAGATTCTTTTCGCTAAATCCTCTCGTCGTTCAAGAATCCAGAAAATGGCTCAATAATGTGATTTTGTAGACTTTTATAAGGAAATCAGATGTGAAATAAAGCGTATATTTTGGAGATAGTTGCATTCGTGTTGCAATCCATTTTGAACGAGCTTTTGTTTGATTTGCTGAGGAATTTAATTCTCCAGCTAATGGAATTGATATGAGAATTGTCAGGTGAGGAAATAAGGGCTTGATGGATATCAAAAATGGTTTATTTGGATCGTCACTATATTGTATCTTCGTATTATTCTATAGAGTCAACGGATAGTCTATCTCCTTTACCTCCTCATTGTGGCCTAGCAATACACTAATGTCATGGCAGAGCACAGAAAGCTATCCGTGGCTAATTTTCAACAAAACGATAGAAAAAGAGGTTAACATGGTACTTCTTCTGCCTCTCAGATAACCCACAGAGCGGATCTGATGTATGACACGAAAAGTGGAGTTTAAGAGATTGGAGGTGATTAGGATTTACTCGTGTTACTATCTGACAAAAAGCACTTACGAACTTACGTACAGATACGTACTGTCAACGATTTTGGAATGGTAAAAATGGAATTTGAAACAAAAAAAAAACACTCAAAAGCACAACTATTCAAGTAACTGATGAAAACTTGAGCATCAAGGGAAAGGGATGCCGTCGCTTATGGTGAAGCTGTAGATGCGTCAAACACAGTTTTAGTTAAGATAACATAAGGAGATTACTGAGAGTCACTATTAAATGTGGTAACTCGTCGTTGCTGATGGGTATCTCCAACACGATGTTGGAATCCACTTAAACTGTCATTTCTGTCATCAAAAATCCTCGTTTGCTTCTCTTGTCGCCAGTTTTCATGTTGGACTTGGAACATATCAGACTGAGTAAACCTCCATCGCCTTATCTAAACGCCATCAAGCAAACTCCGTTGAATCTAGGAAGAGTAAATAAAACAGGAGATGTTATTAAAAAGATCGAAAGAAATAGCTGAGAGACGTGCGAAACAAAGGACCCGCATGGTGTGGTGGTGAACGCGTTACTCCCCGGAAAGGATAATAGCGCGTTCGTTCCCCACCATAGACACCTGCGGTCCAGAGTTTTGCAAATATCTCAGCAACGTTGTGGTTGTATTTCGCTTAGTAACCTGCCATGAAAATTATAGAAGGCAGAAAACAAAACGTTAAACATGATGTTATTAAATTACTTAATACTTGAATGACCTGTCATCGCTGGCCGTGCAGGTCCCAGCACAATCTGCGTTTTTCGGAGATTTGCTGATTGAGCCATTGTGGTTCTTTGGAATCCCGAGGGCACCATGGCCAAAGTCTGCTCCAGGTCTTCACCATCACAAACAGTAGCAGCCTTTGTGGATCAGAGGGAGATTTACCACCATGCGACTTTGATAGCAGGATGGTGGTGGTATTGGTTTACTCTTAGCTCGCATTCCTGTTGGGAACGCCGCAGTCCGACACACAGAAACACCTCCCAGCCATCATGAGGCAGTAAACTGTTCGGAGCATGTTATTAACAAAAGGTTTAGATTCATTTCGGCTCTACGACGAATTCAGTTGTCGTCAGTGGCATTTTAATTCATTAACGAAAACGATGGCGCGTTGCAGGGTGCATCTAGCGCAGTGGTCGGAGGCGCCCTGCAACACAAAGATGGGATCGATCTCTGCGCTCATGGCCCACCAAGCCTTCCATCTCCTCGGGCTGGACGAATTTGTACCAGACTTGTATGGGAGGATTGCAGCCGTGGCTCGATACATCGGCAAGCTACTGTGAGTCGTTGTAAAAGGTCAGGTATGCATCCAATCACCCTCCAAAGATTGCTTAATAAAGTCGAGTGCATGGCGCATCCCTTCAGGGATTTATGAACGCCAAAAGCTTTGTTTTTTCGTTTAGCGAAGACGATTAAAAAGGAACTGGAGCTAGATGAACTAATTTGATATAAAACAACATTGCATTGTTTATCACTTCATCGCATCAAAAATGTCACCATTTAGTAAAGTAGAAGTCATTAGTCATGTAAGAAAAGGTCGATGATGTTCACTCTGTCCCTTATGTAGGCGGAGAACTGGCTAAGGGAGCTCTGCCGCTTGACAAGGAGCAACGGAGACTTTAGTGGTGCGTAAACGAATGGTTCGATGACGAATAGAAGATTGGCTTATAGCAACATGGAATAAGCTCTCCGTTAGTCGGAATCGTTTTATGTTTACAAGTGTTAAATTTTCCTCATTACTACTTATCAGCTATTTATTATATTTTGTGAATTGCAGATCGCTAGCAGCTTATATCGAGTTACTAGAAACGGTTTTAAAATCCTAAGACCGAGTTGCTGTTAACCTTGCCATTAATCAATAATTTTTTATTCTCTTGATAAGCACACACGAGGCTGTTACTTCATTCTTTACTCACAAAAAAGCTAACGTTTCGGTGGATTTCGTCTTCTTCAAAACCTGGGAAGGTCAAGCTGATTGCAATCTACCCAGGTGTTTACCTCCTTAACCAAACACGAAACATTTAGCCAATATTTCGATCGAATTGGAAACAAAACACATTCTTCACAAACTCACCGTCTTGTATGGGTCTTCCACTGACTCCTCCATGTGGAGACCAAACATACAGGTTCAAATGGATGGGTAATGTGTCTCTTTTAAATCAAAATACCAATCTTAGATATTCGTATGAGACCACGTGTGACAACGAAGCAATCCTCCCAGGGATTCATTTTTTGGGCTCTCGGAATTTATCCAGAGTGCTTCGAAAGTCACTCTGGAAAGTCTGAAATTCTAGACTCCTGTATGAGGATGGTGGCTTCCACTTCAAAATCCTCCCATTATGTGTCTGTGTCTTACGCGAAATATTTTGTTCAGTCCTGCGCTTACCGTCTAGGTGCTCTAATTTTTTCTTTTTGTATGATCCATCTTTCGTATCTTTTGTGCAGATTCCAGCACTTTTGCACTGAAATCGTTTTTTTGTCACATCTATTATCCATGAAGTCTCCCCAACTTTTACATGTGGACTCTGCTTGATGATTTTCTTCTCGTCACGAATGTCGATTGCTGGCCGAGTCCATTTCCCCTGAAGTTTTGAGAGATTGGTTAGTGCATTCCCACATCCATTGCAAATAGTGAATTTTTTCCTGACGTATCAATTTTCCGACTCCGTAGGGACAGGCTTGGTGAGTTAATGGGATCGAAACAGCACCGTGCTCGTGACGATCAACGTCACTGTGACTACGCCACTCACCCCTCAGGTGATTTTATAGGGACGCATAGTGGTATACCCATTTCACCAACGTGTTCGTTCTCGCACGCTTTAAAAATCATCAGCTAAACCGCACCGGAACTCACGTAATCGTCATCTATACCGTTTGGAGAAACTGCAATGCCTTTTAGTGACTGGATGAGTATTAAGTTTATAAACCAAACCATTTCATCCTTGGTATGTCTAAACAAGTAATGATAGGTCTAACTTTTAAGACTGAGAGAGCTATAAACGCCAGATCAACAGTAGATACTAGCTTGAGAGTTTCGATAAGCAAGTACAAGGTGAAGGGCAGGGATAGCGCAGAGCTTAGTTGTGTCAACGATCAAGGAGCAAAGACACCAGTTCGTCTCCCGGTTCAACGCTCTCCTCCAATCCACCGGAGAACTCCTTAGCCCGGTTATCTCGAAGATTGCAAAGTGAATTGACTCGAACAGCATTCTACAATATTCGTAAACAGAATGTAATCCTCAAACAGCAGCAGAAACGACGCAAGAAATGTACGAAGACCTTTGTGGATAATCGATGCTAGGAAAACGAATCGAATGCTAGCAGTGGTGGGAGCCGTATAGTACATGTGATGACGGGTCACGTAGAATAAATGAAAAAAGTACAAGGCGAATGGGTTTGTAGCACATTGATACTAGTAACAATCATCACGAGCACGGTGCTGGTTGGGTCCAGTTCCGCGGGTCACCAAGCTTCTTATCACTTCGGGGTTAGGAAATTCGTAGCGTGCTTCTCCGGGTAAAATTCGTTCCCTGAAATCCAAGTGGAAACCCTCCAGCGCCGGTATTTCATGGCTCTATGGAAAATCGACTGGGCCAGCATTCAATGATGTTCACGATGGAAAGAAAATCCTCAAGCAGCAGCTAAAACCGCACGAAAAAAAGTTAAAAGAACTTTGTGGATGAAAGATGGGAGGAAACGAATTTAATGTGAAAAGTGATGGGGTCCACACTGTAAACCCGAGAAAAAGGCCATGTGAAAAACATACCAGACGGAACATGTTCGTAATTCAGTTCCAAATTGCGAAGTAACTGGTGTTTTAAACACGCCGCGTCTGCCACTTCGACCCGTGCCATGTTAAGTTTTCGGTATTGACTCTTGCACCACTTTTCAGATGGTAGGCAATAGAGGGAAGTATCTTCAAGATCCTTGTCCTTATCCCAACACCGAACTGATAAGGAATTACTACCGACGCTTATCACTAACAAATAATTTAATGTTTTTTGACTTCACCGGCTCTCGAACTTGTCGCATACCACACATTTGCGTTTCTGTAGGGACAAAGAGGAACTTTGTCGCGCAATAATGATTAAGAACTTAGAAGGTTTCGCCAGGAGATATCTGAAATTTACTATCACCTTCGCTGTTTCGGCCCTGTTGTCCGAAGAACTGTTGACCAAATGGCGGCTGTGGTAATACCCCTAATTCTTGTTGCTCACTCTTCCTTAGTGCTTCAACACTAACTTTTTTGCGAAGGCTATGATGA